AGAGCAAGCTAAAGAGCCTGCAACAACCAAAAGTACCAAAAACTAGAAGTAATATAGCCAATAACAAACTGAATTACAACATTGAAAAATAAGTTAAATATCACCAATTGCCGAAAACAAACAAGAATTACAACATTGAAGGATCAGATGAAATTTATAGAAAAACAAATCAAATTGAATCAGGTGTAATTATCCATTAACAATCTCATAAGAACACAAAAACCATATGAAATTCTAGAAAAAAACAGCAACAACCTTCACAGAAGGATATCAGAAAATCATGTGATATCAGAAATTAAAAATCGAAAACGAGTTACCAGTTCATAATTGTTATTAGTTAATAAAATGAAAAAAGAAAGTAAATATGACCTTCTTCCTGAAATTAAACAACAGCATAGGAAAATCCGACAAAAAACTCTCAACTTCTAGAGCTTGAGTTTGCAATTGCTAACATCTAGATCTTGAATTTCATCGTTGAAAGATCATAATCGAGATTAATCTAGACATCTCCTTCTCCATCTTCATTGATGATCGAAAAACAAGCCGTTCAAGGAGCGATTATTAATTACAGATCTCGAAGGCGTTTGTGGTGTACGTTCTAGGAAAGGTGGCGGTGTTGTAGGTTTTGGAGGAGACGGTGGTGATGATGTCGTTTTTAGTGATTTTGGCGGATTCGATGGTCGTCGTGAAGGGTCTGGAGAGAAATCTTCCACTAGAAGCTATCATGGTGGGATGAGGTACTAGTTTGACGAGAAAGAGAGATAAGATCATTTAATTGGGGGTAAAATTTTATATCCCTAAAATACCCCTAATGTCATTTTGTTAAGGTACCCCCGTGTCTTTACCTTTCAATTTATTTACAAAAATACCACAAAACATCTTGGCCATCCTTTTTTTTGATCCAATGCTCCACGTTTAGTTCTCGGGTTCTCGGGAAACTATAAGTTCTCAAATGATCCTTCCTCTATATGTATATACTAGGTGAAAACCCGTGGAACCCACGGGTGTTAATGTTAAATATAATTTTAAATATAATTATGTAATAAATAATGTATCATTAAGTTAGAAAACTTATATATTATTTATAAATAACTTTTTTATTTGTAAATATTAAATTACACAATAAATGGTAAGTATTTAATAGCAACTGGAGTTTTTTAAAACCCTTACTTTTTACTGCTTCTTAATCGTTCATGGTGATTGCACGTTAGATTAATAAAAATTGTTGTTGTTTTCATATGTTTTTTTTTAAACTTTACCTTGATTTATTGCGTCATGTGTTTCTTTTTTAGGCTTACTGTCTATAACGTTGAAATCCATTCAATGTTGGTGTTTTACTTAGGATATGTTGTCTATTTTTAGTAAATTTGTAAACTTTAAGTATTTAATTACAAATATAAATTCATATACTTTATAAAAGTCATTACTTTATATAATGCAACATACATTTAAATAACGACAAAAATACCCAAAACAACTTCGAAATTGATCCGATACAAAACAAAAAAAAGATGTATGTAATGAAATTAACATAAAAAATGAGTAAAAGATGCTACAAAAAAGTTCTTTATAAATTGCGAAAAACTTCCTTATAAACAACATTATAAGTTTTATTTGTGAGTCTACCATCTTTATCTAAAATTAATATTTTCAATCCATCTCTGCTTTGAACTCTAGATAATGCAACATACAATTGCCCATGTGAAAAAACCGGATCTTTGAGAAACAAACCAACCTTCAATAACGATTGTCCTTGACTCTTATTAATAGACATTGCAAAACATACCGCCAAAGGAAACTGTCTTCTTGTGAATTTGAAGGGAATTTTTTTTCTGATGGAGTTAAAGACATTCTTGGAATAAAATTCCGATTTCCAATATTAGTTCCAGACATTATACATGCCTCAATAACACGTTTGCCCAATGATATCACCTGTAGTCTTGTGCCATTACATAACCCGTTTTTCTGATCAATATTTCTCAGTAACATTACTGGAACACCAATTTTTAAAACTAACTTATGATTTGGTAGACCGGATACTTTAAGACCATTTAATACATCAGGCGAGTATAAATTTGCATCAAACTGATCATGGACAAATTCGGACTGACATAGGCTATCTGAACTTAAATATTCAACCTCATCTCCTGGAAACTTGTTAAGCAACAGTCGTTTATTTCCTGAACAACTTCATTCTTTGGGGGCAAGTATAGCTCTTTCTTGGAAATAATTTGTACTGTTATACTGCTCCAAAATTGAAGGATATACAAACTCAATTAATGAACCTATAGGATTATCTGGATCATTAATGAGAATATCATTTGGAATATCGATAATCGTTTCACCGTCGTTCGGACCACCGAATTTGCCTTCTCCTATATCCAATAACCAATTTGCAAAATCACTTATTTTTTCTATATCAGCTTCACCCCTTCCAACAGTTAGCCTCATGTTTTTTGTTAATCTATACACTTTGCAATGTTGCCATAAATATGAAGAACTCAAAGAGGCATTAACAATGTTCTGTCTCCTGCCACCAGGAACAACAACAGGTAGAATTTGTCTGAAATCTCCTCCAAAGACAATAACTTTGCCTCCAAAAGGAATATTTGAGATGCTAGAATTTCCACTCCTTAATACATCTTTCAAAGTTCGATCTAAAGCTTCAAATGCATGCTTATGGATCATAGGTGCTTCATCCCAAATTATCAAAGAGGTTTTTCTTATTAAGCTAGCCAACTCACCATGTGGATTTATTTTACAAAAAGAATCCTCTGTAAGTTCAAATGGAAGTATAAATCTAGAGTGTGCTATTCTACCACCGGGCAATAATAACGAAGCAATACCGCTTGAAGCAACAGTTAAAACAATATTACCGTGAGATCTAATTGCTGCAGATATTGTCTTCCAGAGAAAAGTTTTACCCGTTCCACCATAACCATAAACGAAGAAAACACCTCCGTTATTTTCTTTTAACAGCACTCATGATGTTAAGGAAAATGTTATGTTGCTCATTTGTTAATGCAAGAAACATACGATCAAACTCATTCTTTAGAACAAGAATGTCGTAATCTTGCTCCTCAACGATAAGTCGATTGTTCGAAGAAGAAACTGATTCAACATCTGGGTATGGGCATCTTTTTGAAATTTTTGAGAGTGGAGTTGTTTCGAAGTAAGATTTGTTCTATTTCAAACAAAGTTAAGTTCTTAACTTCATCTTCACTGAGTGATAAGTCTGCACCATAAATTTTAAATTAATTACAAAATCTAAAATACAATATTAAATAATATTTATAATACTTATTTAATGGGTGTTGATAAGAAAAATATATTATTTTAAATAGAAATGAAGAAAAAAATTTAAATACCTGCAGACTTGAACCTTTGTCGTTGGTTATATAGAATTCCATCCGCCAAATATTCCCATGTATCTTCCCAAACGATCTCTGGTTTAGACATACTATTACACATCAACAATGTGGCAAATAAGAAGCGTAGATAAAAACCAGATCCATAATTACTTGCTTCTTTAATTGCATCGATGTATTCCTTGTCATCATCTATTAGCCTGAGTGCATAACAAGCATCTCTAAAAGAAGAATATGTTTCACCATTTACCGTGCGAATTTTATCAAATGACGTCGGACCTTTAACTTTATTTAAAAGAATCCTTAAAAAATATGCTTCGCCAAGATTAGGTGAAACGGAATGAATTCTACCAATGGCTTTTCCTGCTTTCCTTCGCTTCCAAAACCTACCATTTAATACCCAAACAAACTTTGTTGGAAACTCAACATATGTAAGATCTCGTGCTTCACTATTAATTGCATTACACTCCATCCAAGATGTGAACTTTGAAGCAGCAACAGAAGGTTTGTCCAGAACCTCGTCGATATCATCGTCTTCGCCATATACAATCTGTTGTTGATTAGGAAGATGAAAAGGTAGTCTAACCACAGAAGGATACCTGCAATGAACATCATATTTAAAAATTCGCCATGATGCTTCACATCCAGATAAATATCTACAATCGTAATATTCAACTATTTCATCCACCACATCATTATTTTCACATTCATTGTTTGTTGGTACAACAGCAACTGTAGCTCTATCAGGACCCTTGTTTATGTATTTGAACAGATACTTTATAGAAGATCCTTGATTGCACCATTCAACATTAATATGTGCCTGATATCTTTTTAATAGATATTTGTTGTATGGAACAACATTTCTATTATCCAACTTCACACCCGATTTTTCTACAAAATGACCATCGTTTCTTCTCCTATATAACGGAAAACCATTTCCATCAACAGACGAATGATCACAGAATTGTTTTGGAAAGTTTTTTGAGCACTTTTTATCCACCATGCATGGACAATTGATATTTTCAGCCCCACATGGACCATGAATCATGAACTCATTGACAAGTGAATACAATTCTGGATCTTCAATTTTGTCTGGTATCTCGGCAGAAATTATCGGATCGATAAATTCAACAGTGGGTAACTTGTTGTCAGAATGCATAAATAAACATATATGACTATGCGGCAAACCTCTCTTTTGAAATTCAATGGTATAAACATCTACAAAATATTTGGCAAAAAACAAAATAAGATTAGACAATAAAAACATATAAAAAATATATTATAATAAGAGTAATGTTTTATCAATAATGAAAAAATATAATTTTAATTACATGCTTGAACTGTGCCGAAAATTTTATTCTCCCGTAAGTCTTTAATAAATGCATCAAGCTTGATCTTGAACAACCTACATAGTATATCAGGCCTGTCTTCTGGTTGAAGTGAAGTATCCTTAAGAAATCTTTTAATCTCTGGCCATTTTGGATTACACGTAAAGGTTATGAAAAAATCTGGATATCCAAACCATTTACATGACATGGCATCCAAATACTTCTGCAGCATATATTGTGCGCCACCAGTAAAGGATGAAGGTAATATGACACGTTGTCCGACATTGGAGATATTCGTTGTTCCTTAAGCTTTTTGTTTACATAAATTCTCATAAGACTCACATCTAAGAACATGTTTTTGCCTACGTATGTAATGCAATCTCTCCGTTTCCATCATAGTATAGGCATCTACCAGAAACTGTTGAAACAACCTTTTTGAATTAAGAATGAGGGAGAACAAATGATCTCTATCTTGAATTCTAAAAGCGAAATATTCTCTCATTGTACATTTCGCCCGCTTGCTGTTGGTTGTAAATGACACACCTCTATGAAGAATGTCAACACTGTAACCATCATCTCCATATGGAAATAGCAGTGGATATTGAAGAGGAAGGTATGAAGGATGCAATTCACTGATACGTTGTAGAAATCCAGTTTTTGTTTCAACAACAATATACCTCTTTTCAATTGATTCACAAATGTCACCGACAATTAAAGCGGCAACCTCTGAAGCAGTCGGTAGGTTATATGTTCTTCCATCTCGCTGCCTTCTCCTGATAAGTCGTAGTTTCATATCAACTTGAGGATTTTTCTGAAAAGTATCTCTTACCATCCTATAAGATCTAACCAACACATTATTTGAATCCAACATCACCTTTATATCTTCAATAATATCACTATCAATTGACGTTGATTGATCTTTTTCCCCACTAAAATAAATGAAATTATACATAATATTAGTAATATATATATATATATATATATATATATATATATATATATATATATATATATATATATGTGTGTGTGTGTGTGTGTGTATAATGAATAATTATGAATAAGAAGGATGAAAAAATACCCAAAGCATCTTTGTCTATTTGAAATTTCGTTCTCAGTATCATAAATGTATAACTGAGAGAATTTTGGTTCCGATCTTTTTGCTGGTAAAAGGCTTCCAATACTATGATAATTTTGACCACCCAGTCTGAAAATGTATGGAGCGTTTCCTCTATTGATTGAAGAATCAATTTTACCACCCATCGACGTAAAAGAAAACATTGAATTGTAACGTCTAATGTTTTTCATGAAGTGTTTGCTTTTAGAATCCATATTTCGAAACATTCTTTCATAACTTGGCGGTGCTTTCTTTAAATCTGGAAGTTGAACTTTGCCGTAACCACAACATAATGAATAATATGTGTTCCCTTTTTCTTTACCTCTAATGGATTCATTTCTCCATAACTTTGCATGACATGTTTGACATACAACATTTTGATCACCATGATCCAAATATTCTGTAAATTAAAAGGCGATGAAAAAAATATCAGTGAAATTTATAAGTATATACAACGTAGTATTTGAAATGTAAAAAAAAATGAAAATGAATATTATTTTTTTATTACCATTTGAGATACCAACTATAAGGTTTTCATTTATGACTTGATGTATATTTTCTACATTTTCTGTCAAATCAATCAACGGGATAGGGGATAAATGTGTCGTCTTCCTTTTTAATTTATGACATCCTGGATTCAACTTGATTGAAGATGAAGAAGCAGTTATTGTAGATGCATTTTTCGATGTCATATCATTTGAAAGTACATAGTACTGTCTTTTGTCTGGTAAGTTGGAACTGACATATTTATCGAAACCGATGTTATCTGAACAAAATAAATAAAATAAGTATATATATATATACTTATATCCGGATTATAAAGAAAATTAATAATAGTATATTTTAAAAACAATAAATTATTACCATTTGTAATGTTAGATAACGGATTTCTAACATTTGTAATGTTAGATAACGGAGTTCTAACATTTGTAAAGGAATGAGAGTATTGTACGGTTGTATTTTGGATTCCGGGTGAATTAAATGAATTGACATTTTGACTTTGACCAACAATGTTGGTTGATTGATCTGCAAATAACAAAAATTTATGAAAACTAAAGACATATGTATAAAACATAGTAATAACCTGCAATCATATAATATTACAAGATAATTAAAAAAAATATGAGAAATCATTTATTGTATATAAATGTAAAATAAGCGTAAAACATGGAATAAAAAAATAATAGGATTATAATTAATTATATTTTTTAAGAGATGCGGTATTGATGTACTTGGAACGTTGGATGTTGTATTCATTTTCTTCGATCTTTTATTTTGCAAATATATTTTTCTTTGTCTTCTTTTCTCTCTCGCTTGCAAGTGGCACATGTTATTGTTGTTTTCTACATAACAAATAATATGACAGGATATGAAATGTATAATTATGTAATAATATGTTTATATAATAATATTGAATAAATAAACGTACCTTTGTAAGCATCGGTTACCAATTTCGAAGAATATTGACTTGCAGCGGACGAAGAATTTGACAATTTATCTATTTTTTATGTTAATAAATATGTATGTTATTAAAATAAATACTATGTGAATTAAAAAATAATAAATAACAATAATACAATTTGTATATGAAAAAACTTACCTTTGTAAATCGAAGTTTTAACAGTTGTAGTTGTTGAGGCTAGATTTGTTGATGTAGTACCCAAATTAATATTTTTTTGTATTATCTAAATAGAAACTATTTAGTTTTATAGACTTTTTAGAAGAAAGTGAATGCATTGTATGTCTGCAACATTAATAGTTAAGATAAAATAAATAAAATTAGTTATAAATTAATATGCTTAACAAATAAGATTTAAGTAGTTCATACAATAATTATCTAGCGAAGAAATAGGTATAAAGTCAATTTTTTGTCATTTTTAAGTATTCTTGTTAAGTAGTAGGAAAAACAATACAATTTAATTGTGTCACTTTTTTGAAATGGTTTATTAAAATGTACATATAAACTATAAATTAGTTTATTAATGTATTATTTATTTATATAAAATAAGTCAGCTGAATAGGTTGTATTTAAAACTATAGAGTTGAATAGTAACAGAAGGGCAATTTTGATTTTTCAGTTAGACATTTAAAGATTGCATAGGGTCTAAGCTAATGTCAGGTTGCAATTTTATACTTATTTCTTTATTTCTTTATTTATTTATTAGTATTAGGATATGGGATTATTTAAGGCCTTATAAAGACGTATGTTGTGATTCAACTACAAAAAATTATAATTACAAAACATTGGAAAATGTAGCTCAATTTTCAAGTACACAGTATATTATGTTTTGGATTCGGATTCCAATAATGTATTGCTGTTTTGAAACTTGCTTTATTTTTTGCTCAAATTGTATTGTTATGGCTGATATGTATTAGTGGACTTGGTTTATATAATATATTCGCATGGAACCCACAAGTCTGCAAAGCTCTTTCACCTTATTACATGTATAAGTTTTTAAAGAAGACAAAGACACGTGACTGGATGTCACTGGGAGGCATTGTACTCTGCATTACAGTTAAAATAAAAGTTCATATTCGAACCTAGTAACAACTAACAACTAACAACTACCACTTTAAAAGGTTCATAACAATGTTGATGATTAATTAATTAATTACTTGGTTCAAGAAATGGCAATACTGTCCTCACCAACTCTCTCTGACAACGTCTTCTTCATCACTCCGTCTCTCTATCTTTCTCTCTCTGTGTGTGTTGCTACCAAAAAACCTAAAACCCACTTCGTCACCGGCTAACCGTCAGTGACTCTCCTCGATTCCCCCACAATCGATTGGGTTCATCAACGCATCAAAGAGAATGAGAAGATTTCATCGACGATGACCGCTGCTCGTGCGACATAGTCTCCGTCAGTTCAGAAAAGAAAATCAATCCTCACCCTGAGTCTCCTTTTTCCACTGCCGACCTTAATTCGTCCCGTATGGAAATTACCACTCATAATCCTCATTTCCAACTTAGGGCTTCTTCAAGTTCCATTTGTTCTTTCCCCAATCTCACACAATTCTTCTTCGGATGATCTCAGGGGGTAAAACCCTAGTTCTAGATGGAAACCCTGAAGATAACATTGTCTCATTGTGGAGTCAGAAACAACTACGGGTTGCATTTAGTTTCCGACATCTGAAGGTTGCGTAAAGGCAAAAGAGGAGTTTGCATATAGTCTGTCAAATTCTGGATTATTAGGTTTGTTAATCTAACTTTAACCCCCAAAAGGCCCTTTTCGTTCCTTGCCCAAATGATCGAATAAGATTCTTCAACTAATCCAGGTTATATAACTTATAACCCTATGTAGGTTCATGTTTTCCATCTAAATCTTTTACAACAGAGGTATTAAGTTAATTGTTTCATGTTTGAAGCATCTAAGGTGTATTTGATCGAGCAATTTTCTTACAGTTAGCAGGAATCAATGTCTGTTGACATCTAATTGATATTTTGAATAATTTATGGTTTGTCACATCTATTTAACAACAGGTAAAAAATTACTATTGAGGATTTGTAGATATTGTTAGAGATGAAGAGATTAAAAAACGTTGTAATGAAATTTCAACATACATACAGATACCATTGTAATGTAATTTCAAAACACTAACCTGATGTGAATATGAAAATCTTGCAGGAATTAAGAGACTTTTAAATCAAAAGCAGTTTACGTGTTCTTCAGAATGTGGAATAGAACTTGTATGGAGCATCTTGATGTAAATTTCCCGAAAGAACAGTCTTAGAAGCAATTGAAAGACAAAGAAGACGAATGAGGAATTTAAAAATTATATCTTCACGTTCTGAGGTATATTTATAGATATAAAATAATTCTTTTAATATTTTTCAAAATATAATCCCAGATTTTATGGAATTATTGTTGTTGATATTCTATTGGATAATATTCAGTTACCGATTTTATTGGATTTACTACATTAGAAATCAATTTAATTTTAATATATGATTTGCATTTAATAAGAATTACATAAAATTAGGAAAATATCAGTTACATGGACGAAATTTATAGAGTATCATATATTGATATCTTTGACTTAGAAATCAAGATATGAATATTCCTGATTTATTAATTTTTTTAATACAGAGATTGATTTTAAAATGGAAAACATATGACGTCCGTGATTCAAAAACAACCTGTGACTTTAATGGAGGTAAGTGCATCCTTTTGGCAGACATGTCATCTTTAGTACTTAATTAAAATTTATATTTAATAAATAAACTAAAAATATATTTTATTGTCCAGGTGTTTGGGCGTTGAAGGAGCAGGTGTTTGCGATTGCTTCTCACATGTTGGAGAACATAAGTATGCAGGGAACTTGATAATAAATATTTCAGTTGAAGATGGAAAAGTGTCTGTATATTGGTAAGACAATCCATAACCATTTATTTATTCTTATTTTTCTATTTGAACCAGAGTCTATAACATTTACTTGCCAAAAAATGTATTAAGTCATTTTTCTTATGAATACTTTCTTGTGTTTTTGTTGTATAAGGTATGCTTATGTTACCCGAGATGATGTGGCTGAACTGCTTGAACAACATATGAAGAATGGTGAGATAATTGAAAAGATTTGAAGGTACCCTTTTCCCCTCTTATGTATTTAGCTTTAGTTGGTTATATATCGCAAGTTTTTTAGGGAAATTAATATTGTTAGAAGTTTGTGCATAATGTTATAATAAATATATGATCCTATGACCTAAATGAATCATTTGATTAATCCTTAAAAACCATTCATCATCAGATATTGATTTCTACTTGTTTATGTTATTAGAAATTAGAAATGATTTGATAGAAAGCATTTAAACATCCATAATCATAGCTGAAGCTATAAACACCTTAACATTTAGAAACACATAATAATGGAATATACTTTTTGGCTACTATTATGCCAAATATTAGATATTTATTTACAACAGAAAATACAAAAAAATCTCTCATGGAATTCATGATTTTTATGCTTTTCCTGCTACGTTTCTTCTCTGTACAATAATACTGTGGGTGGTTTATGTGATAACGAATGACTGAAAAAATGAATGGTGTACCTAAAAAAAATGATGTACTAAGTAATTAAATATAACATCTAGATAAAAATAATGTTAACATTAAAACCAGTATATTAATTTAAATCAACCAAAATGAAAAAAATTAAAACGAACCATAGTCTTAAAAAATTTGTTCACTAAGTACCTAAATTTCCAATAACCATTGTACCAAATCACCAAACATTATTTAAAACTTAACCAACACGAACCAAATTTATTTGTTTGTTAAACCAAAAAAAAATCACTTTTCCACTTTTGGAACTAAAAGTGGATTTCCATCTCCCATTGATTTTCTTTTAGATTTTGTTGAACTGAAATCAACTCCACTATCAACATCATAAATGTCATGGAGGTTGCGCTTCAAATCAAATGATATTTTCATTGGACTTGTTGCGGATGATTTATCAACTGTTGAGGGAGTAAAACTCTCATCCGTTTGTGATATGACATCCTGAATTAAAAAAACATAAGTTGACAATTGGAATCATTAAATATAAATAAATCTTAAACTTAATGTTGTAATATAAAATACCTTTTCAACAGTATGAACAACTTCATCTGATTGCAGTGGTACTTCATTTAAGGAGACTGATTGAACACTCTACAAAATAAAATGGAAATATGTAAAATGTTATGTATGTAAATAAAAAACAAATATAAATGTTGAACATTTAAACATTATGTACCATAAGTTCTAGTTTACTTTCCAAGTCCGAAATAATGGAGACATCTTCTGTAAGTTTGACAACGGTGTAGATATTGTTATAGTTGATGACATTGTAGGATGTAATATCTACAAGAAAGGCAAATTTCCGGTTTTTCAAGACGTTCATTTGATTTGGAAATAGGTGCAAACTGTCGCCAGCCTGTAAGAAGATTGTTTAATATATTAAAACAAATAAAATTTTATTCGATAGAAAAAATATGAATAGAATATTATACCGCTTCATGTATTTTTTTCAACTCGAATGCACTTATATCCAACAGCCTTTTTGCTTCTCTATCAAAAAGAGTTAATCCAATGGTGCCAGTATGATCTTGTACATTCATTGGAATTATATACCTAAAAAAATTAGATTAATAGTAATTTTGATGAAAAATTGAAATGATTAATTAATATAAATAGATATGTGTATACTTTATAACAGTATGAAAATTCGAATTGTTGCAAGCTGCGTTTTTACACTTAATAACAACACTATCTTCCATCTTGCCGGGGGCGGTATAGGAAAGATTGGTTTTGGGCACATTGTTTACCCTGCTTCCACATTTGTAACACGCTTCGTAATACCAAGGTAGATTTTGTCTTATATTCACAATGGAACCAACTAATAGATATTTCATTTCCTATATAAAAAAAATGTAAAATTAAAAAAAAAATTAAATAAAATTAAAAGATATAAAATCAATAAAATATACCGTTAGTGGTTCTGTGATTTCACAAACAGTTTTTAAAGGGAAATTCCCTTTGAAATCATCTATATAGGAAGAAGAGTAGCTTGGAAGTGTAGTTATGCTTTTTTCCAACATACCACCATTTTTATCTGCTTTCAACCTGTAATGTTTAAAATTATATTAGTAAATATAAGAAATTGTATTCATTTAAATAATAATAATAAGATAAATATGTTTAAATAAAAATAAAAAAAACTAACTCTTTCTTAAAGTCATTAATTTCCACAATGTCAGAATTAATGAACATCTTCTTTACATCGAAATGACTTTGAGCTTGACCAATTCCTGTAAAAACAGATAAGTCAATAAAAGAAAATTCGAAAACAGATTAGGTCACATCTCTACAAACCATTCCAAACGTTAAGTTTGACAAACTGCATCATTATAACAACACAAGTAACCGTGCTGTTACTTTTCAGGTACTGTGACATTTGGTGTGCCTGACTTCCAAATATAGTGACATTAAGGTGTACAGACCTAAATATAAAATTAATTTAATTAGTATGAAAAAATATGATTAAAAATAAAAAATAAATGAAATAAATATCATCTCACTGTAAGTTGGTAATAGTCATCTTTATGTAATGTCTTGATGGGTTAGGATTGGTTGTCTCAAGAGGCCTAAATGAGACAATTTTCCCAATAACATCTACATAATTTTTATAAAAAATAGTACATAAGATTAAGTTAAATACTAACATACTAAAAATTATAATAAATTACACAAGTTATAAAAGTGAATGGAATAAAATTAAACAACTAACCAAAGAATGAGTCTCTTGGGCATTTCTGTTCGATGATAGAGTTAAAATCAGCAAACACAAAACCATTAACTGGACCCGAAAAATCATCACATTTTTTAACAATACTTTTACAATCCAAAGTTAAGGTCTGTTTCTGACCGGTAACACTAAAACCATTTTTAACAGCCGCCATGTTTGGTTTTAAAATGATATAACTTTCACCTTCCTTTATAAGGTCACGAAATCTGGAAAAATTTTGGCTGAAAACACGAGATTTGTATTTTGTACCCTGATAAAACAAATAAAAAAAAATTATTCATTGAAACATATGAAATATTTAGTGGTTTTAAAAAAAGTTAACCAACCTCCTCGTCCATGATGATCATTTCAATCGATAAAACCTGGTTATTTTTTATAAAATTCCAAATCTTTAACACCCGTACTTTGAGATGTGAATCATCAGCGATATGTTCAATGTCTTTTAGGTATATTTTACTGCCGATATCCATTTCCTGCAAACAATTCATAGCATATTTAAATTAATATCAATTTTGTATGACCATGGGCAAAACGGTCATTTTTGTTATTTATGAGGTGATACATATACAGTTAAGGAGTTAAGCAGTCAAGAAAATAAACAATTAAGCAATCACAGTGAACAAAGCATACATATTTAAATTAATATCAATTTTGTATGACCATGGGCAAAATGGTCATTGTTGTTATTTATGAGGTGATACATATATAGTTAAGGAGTTAATCAGTTAAGCAGTCAAGAAAATAAACAATTAAGCAGTCACAGTGAACAAGCATACATATTTAAATTAATATCAATTTTGTATGACCATGGGCAAAACGGTCATTTTTGTTATTTATGAGTTGATACATATACAGTTAAGGAGTTACGCAGTTAAGCAGTCACAGTGAACAACCCTTATGCTATATCTGTTTGCTAGTCAAAACATAAACATACCGAAATGTTTCCATTAAACAATACTTGTATCCCTTATAATTTTTAGTTTTGGGATACTGATCATAGTAGATAGAAAAATGTCTGAAAGGTTTTGAAAAGGAAGGGTGTATGTCGCATAATGTTTCCATTAAACAATACTTGTATCCTTTATAATTTTTAGTTTTGGGATACTGATCATTCTTGAAAGTGTGATACTAACAGACCATATTTTGTTTTTTTTTTGGTGTTGTCTGTTGAAATAAGAATTTATTTAATTAAATAATATACAAATCAATAAAAGGTTACAAACAGGACACACACACAAAAAAAAAGAAAAAAAAAGAGATCAGTTCCAACACATCATGTGACGTGATTCTTAAAAAGGGTACAAAACAAACGGATAGATAACAGTGAAACATATAAGCTGCTCAGTTGCAACATTACAGTAACAGTGAGTATAGGGTGAATAACAATAAGAGATACACAATGTAAAAGATACACAAACGGTTTGATAACAGTGACAAATAGATTGAGATAGAAAAAGATAGAAGCCGATATTCATTTAAAACATAATGAATAATAATAACAAAAAATATTAATAGCATACCTTAAAGCAACACTGTGAATAATGATAATAATGAAGCAGATACATAGATCATATACACACAAGGTAACAGATACACAAACGGATTGATAACAGTGACAAATAGATTGAGATAGAAGAAGATAGAAGGCGACTTCAAGAAAAACACAATGAATAATAATAACAGCACATCAATTTTAATAGCATACCTTAAAGCAATAACAGAAGGCGACTTGAAGATATTCACGAAATTTTTCTTGTTCTCTGAATTTTGGAATCGATGTGAATGAAAATAACCATGACCATGTATTTAAGATAAATCGATTAGGTAAATTACGAGTTTTTAGGAATTGATAAGCATCATATATTTGAAAGATACGTTTATCTTTTGAAATTAACTAATGATTATTTACTTTCCATTTTTTTAATGTTGCAGAAAGAATTCAAATTGACGTCCAGAATTTTAGGAATGGATTGGTTACTTGAAGGGCAATATCGGAAATTAACATTATCAGAAAGAGTGGGAAAAATCGATTGGGGGGTGGCTATTTGACTGCCACGTGTACAATTTCTACCTATTTATTAGAATAGGGGATATATATATATATATATATATATATATATATATATATATATATATATATATATATATATATATATATACTAGGTTAAAACCCGTGGAACCCATGGGTGTTAATTTTAAATAGAATTAAAAAATTCATTATGTCATAAAACAATATATCATTAAATTAGAAAACTTATGATCTGCAAAAATATATTGATTAGTTAAAATTAAGATACACATTGTAAAATAACATAGAAACTATAAAAATCGTAATTATTAATCATAAATTTGTAAAAAGTTATTTTTATCCAACATTGATATTTTGTTTGTAAGTCAATAATTGTTATTTTAATTAATATATAAAATTGTTTCTGTATCATAATATATTTGAAAACAAGTTCTAAAAACTATAATAATGATAAAATACAAATGACTTATACAATTACCATTCCACATCATGTTCAAAACTTGTATAGTAGATGAACTCTTGACGTTTGATATGTTTGACAATTTTTTGGAATTTCTATTATGAAAATATATTTTTATCAATTTTTCTGTTATCTAACACCAATATAATCCATGTTTTATACGAATGAGTAAACCAATATATATTTTGTGTAAATTAATATGAAGTTTTGTAGAGGTTTAAGAGCATATATACCTGCAGAAGACAAAATTGTTTAAGAAGTATGTATGATCCAAACATACAATATAGAATATATAACCATTTTAAAAGCATGACCCGTGGTTATGGCCTTGACACCTATTATGTAGAAATAAACAGGAAAATGATGATTAATAGAATAAAAAGAAATAGAAAAAGGATTTTACATTGCATGTTAAAACTAATAAAGGACAATTTCACTTTCTCCAATCATCTTATCAATTGAAGAAAGAACTAAAGGGAAATTAACCTAAATGAAAATCACACCTATCATTTGCTCTTTTGTTTTACACCATAAAAAATATATGCATGTCATTTTATTATCGAAACATCTAACACAAAAAGTCTATTTTTTTCATAGTATTTATTTTTTTGGGGATTACATATAAAAATCACATTGTGTCTAAGAAGTAACCTAACCCAACCATCTGTGAATGAAATCCAGCTAACTTGAGACGCCCTCTTCTCCTAAAATCCAAAAAGAAATACACCAACTGTTGGTAGAAAAATGGGCTTTCTTGAAGCAACATGCAACATACCTGCAGATTGACTTTCCGCCTGTCACAACTAGAAATTCTGATGCTTTTGTAAAACCCTTAACAAAGATAACATTGTAGTTAAAACTTGAAAACATGTATGGTGCTTATTCAATGACCATAAAATTCCATCAAATACTCTATACAGACATTCAAATAGTCAACAAAAGGTTGAAAACCCTAAAAAAATCCCGGTTCAAGTCCATTTTGGACTAGGATTTTCTTACTGGGCCTAATGGACCAATAAGCTTCCAATTTGACTATTTTGGGCTTAGAACTCTTATATGGGCTCTAATTGGACCCATTAGCATGAAACTTAACATTTTGGGCCTCATAAGCCTAAAATGGACTAGTTTATCTTTAATGGGCCTTATTGGGCCATAACAAATCTAAAAGGCCCAATGGGCCAAAAATCATCAAAATGGGCCCATAATATGGACTCAAGAACAAAAAGGCCCAAACCATTCTTTTCCCTTACCCTCTCTCGGCCCAAGTAGAAAGAAAAAAAAAAGAAAAAAAGAAAAAGGGGAGAAATTAAGGGATTAAGGAGGGTTAGCCACCTCCTTATTACTCATTGGATTTCCATGCAAAACTCACATATCTCCATGCATCCATCCTATCACCTCTCTCTCTTCTCACACACACACAAACACACTTATTTCACTTCTAAATCTTCTCAAGAACTCACAACAACTTCTTCACTTCTCCTTCAAAAATTTTGAGAGTTAGGGCTCTTCAAGGAGGTTATTCCATAATAATCATCATCATTGGTAAGTTATTGTTTAGATCCATAACCTAGTCTCTTTATTTCATCAAAACTTCTTCCTAACTCACACCATTTTCGTGATCTACTCCTTAGAAGCTTCTTAAGTTCGAAATCAACCCAAGAAAGCTTGCTAGGGCCGAAAAATATCATCAAACTCTTCCCTTTCTTCTTCAAATCGAAAACAACAAGCAAAGGTGAGTTCATACCCCTCTATTTTTGGTTTTCACAAGTTTTATGGGGGAGAATACAAGTAAAATATGTAGATCTATGTGTATGTGTATGTTATGTGTGATTTCATGTGTTTATGTGGTAAATATGTAACAAAAAGGAAAGAAATCTCGAGATAAATGGAACAAGAAGGAAAATAAACATGATCTAATATATATTACACTAAACAAGTCAAGAAAAATTACCCTCTAAGGTTATAATAAACATATTGCAACATAAAACTCATTTTTGGACTATATTTGCCAAATAAACAAAAGTTGGGTTAAAAATTGTCATTCACGGTTTTCTTAAGGGCCAAAAGAGTCAAAACAGTTAAAATAAATGTTTTTATGAATATTATGCTCTTCAAAGGACTAGAAATGTGATTTGTAGCCTAATGGGCCAATTTTTGGGCTTTTCGGCCCATAGGCCCAAAAATTGCGAAAAATGTGATTTTCAAGGGGTTGAAATGGTAAATTTCTCAAAACAGGGGGTAAAAGGGGTAAACAAAACTATTTCAGGGGTTAAAATGATTTTTTTTCCAAAAAGGATAAAAAATGTAAAGTTTTTGGAATTTGGGTCAAAATTGTAAAAGTTGCGAAAAGTTAGGACTTTAACTGAAAAACTCTTTGCTGAAAGAGCTGAATTTGCCAAAGAGTAAATTTTGAGCAAAAAACATTACTTAAACAAGTCTATGGATCAAAAATGTCAAGAAAATGGTTATAGGGACCTAAAATGTCTTTATTTTTTAAAATAAGGGACTAAGATTGTCATTTTTATTGAAGAAGGGCTGAATAGGTCAAACCAATATTTTTAGTCAAATATTTTATTATTAAAATACTTGGGTCAAAAATACCAAATTACAACTTATGAAAATAAAATCAAGAATATACATTTATTTTCAAATATCGTTACAAACAATCGACAAGCCTTGTGCCGTTGCGAATATTAACAATTGTTCAATCAAGCTTCCGACAATTATACTATAGCTAAAACAAGTAAATATTCAAATTGTTGGGCTTGAAAGATCCTAATCATGCTTATTGGGCCTTTGTGGCCCATTGACATGACTTTCGGGCCTAACAATGATAACACATGTCTATTGGGCCTCCTGTGACCCAATTACATGTTTAAGGGACCCTCAATGGCTTTTATGTGCTATTGGGCCTCAGTGGCCCATTAGCATTGCTAGTAAGGTCCAAATAAATCAAATGTGAAATGGGCCAACGCGTCCTTCGTATACCCAACAGCCTTAAATAACACACGTAATTAGCAGGACCTCGTAATCCTCTTCTTCTCGTTTGTTAGGCTTACCTTCAATTCAAGTAAACAAATACAGGTCGTTAATCAATGGTAATCAATTTCGTTTGGATTAAGTGAGTAATAATTGGCGACACCTCTAAGTGTCGTTCGTAGTCTGTAGTTATAATCAAAGTCTCCTGGAGGGAGAGCGAGAGTTTGTGTATAGATCTATACGGGGGTGACTCCCCCACACCTCAGTTGTTCGCTACAGTTAGACTCGGCTAGTCTAGGGTGACAAAATCTTAAGATCAATTCTGGCGTTCGCTAGAATGCCAAGACAGACGAACTAGTCATTATCATGCATGGTTATAACGACTCACATAAATAAATAAATCCAATACTATCCGAGTAATCAAGGAAAATCATAATTATTCGTTGTGACGGTATAACAATTTGAAACAATTATATTATCTTATCGGAAAACATCAGGTTTTTCGAGGAAATCAACACCATTCACTTGTACTTTTCAATAACTATAATGCAAAACTTCTCATTTATACACGCTTTGAAATCATTCATGCACAAACTTATGGACCTTCACACTTTGGTATAAACAATTGTCTTTTCAGAAAATATCGGATTTTCTGGGTTTTATAAACTACACAAAACATTTTTATAACAACCCTGCTTATGAACTCACCAACATTCCATATGTTGACCTTTTCAAAATAACTTGTATTCTCAGGTAACAGGTAAGCTGAAGAGTAATACCAAGTATGTTAGGGTGTTATGCTTTGAAAAACTTTCAAACAATTTATGATATGAATATGTAATATTTAAACAATGTACTTGATGTGAACAATGTCAGTTGTAATGTATTAATGCATGGTGAAGTTTATGTTGTGTTTCATGTATATTCATTGTGATGATATTCAAGTTGAGTCACGCGATCCCTCGGACGTTTCCGCCGTCTGGTTCGGGGGTGTGACACCGCCTATACAGAATCAAGTGAACAATCTTCATCACAGATTAATTGTAATCTCTAATCCCTAAAAAATCACATATATTAAGCATCATCTTGCAGGTAAGGTATCTAGTAGCCAATTCATATTTAAACAATCTATAAACATGAATTGATTGCATTCTTTTAATCTTTGAGGTAAATGCAAAAATAGCAATTTACTTTATATTTTTTAATATTATATCAGCAACTGTCACAAAACAACTTAAAAGTTTGATGAAAATGATAGCGTTACCTGTCTTTCATATTGGGTATAAAGGTTTTCAAAGTCTTTACCCCAACAATCAGCTAAACCTAGAGCCTCAAGAAACTCAAAGATATCAGCATGCCATGGCTCCAAATAAACAGCAAAGGCACCCTTTCTCTTACCACCTCCTTGGTCAACATATCGAGCAGTATCATTAAACACACGTGACATTGGAATAATACCATCAGATGTTCTGTTGTGCCAAGTATGTAGCTTCCAGTTGCTCTGATATTAGGAACAGAGACACAAATACCCCCTGCTGGTTTGCTGATAACAACACATTCTTTTAGAGTATCATTCATTCCTTCAATGCTATCATCTTTCATGCATATCAGGAAACAGCTACTCAACTGCAAATTACATTACTACCCTCATGTGAGAAACAAAGAAACATTCAAGCGACTGAAAGTCTGAAACTAAGAAAGGTAAAGATAATTATTCATACTTGAGGCCTGGGTGTTCCAGCATTGAAGAGGGTGGGAGAAGCATGAGTGAACCACCTCTGTGACATTAAATGATAAGTTTTGATTACGGAATCAATATCTTATTTATGAATCCCAACTGTGAATCTCATTAGCATATGTTGAGTCCTTTCCACAACATTCCCTTCTATCTTAAATAGATAAGACCTATCAAGGGTTTTGAATCCAAAATAATCATAGTCAAAGTCCCGATCATAGATAATCTCACTGTCTAACTTTGCAGCATGCTGAAACAAAAACAATTCACACATTAAAGTGTATTGATGAGCATGTGTTACTTTCATGATGATTTCATAAACATCATCTGTAGTAAGAGGAGCCTTCTGCCCAGATCTGTCGCTGATATGAGAGTACATATATTTGCTCCTGCAGTGACAACCGAGATTTATAAGGATCAGGATCATAAACACTGATATGAATAAAACGGTGTTAATGAAGGTAGATTGAGCTCACTTATGTTTTAGAAAATGATTTCGTAGTGTTCTTGTGCAGATTTGAAACAACAATCCTTGCATCCAACTGTATAAAAAAGCAAGTTACACACAAAAAATATAAGCAGTTCAATTGATTAATAACGTTTATAATGATTAATTTCTACAACAAGGCCTAAAAACCCTGATCGGGAACTCTCAAATTCTATTCAATTGAATGCCAAGTAAATAGAATGTATTAATTTCTTCCTTGTAAGGAAAAAAGATTGAATTTGATATTCAGATAGCTTCAATGTTTTGAGGGAAAAAAGGAACAATCGTACATAAAAACACAATATAAAGTTTATAAAAAAACCATTTCAACTGGATTACCTGAAGGGCAAGGGTATTCAAATCTTCAAATAGGTTTAATTACATCTTTTTTAACTCCTGTAAATCCTTCCATCAATGGATATTTCTAAAGAGAGCCCAATTTATTCAACATTAGATTGGGGTCTTTTTGGTTTTGAGGAGAATGTCGGAGAAAGAAGAGTACCTAGGGATTTGCAGTTATTTTAAAAGCATCTAGTGACTGCAATCTAACGGCAATAAACGCCCCACCAACGAAAAACAATTAGAAAATGGTGAACTGAAAACAAGTAAACTTTATAAACATACCTTTGAAAAAGCGTTGAGTATGTGGGGTTCAGAAATCAACAACTGAAGCTTGGAATCAAGTCGCACATACATGGGATTCAAACCCTAAAATTAGACCTCAACAATACAAAGTAGAAATATAAAAAGACAAACCTAAACAAAATCAAAGAAAAAAACCTAGAAATTAGACCTTACAACTATCGATTCGACTTCTTATGTCTCCTTGGTGCATAGTAGTGGCGGTGATTGTGGCAAAAAAGATGCTTTGGGCATAATTAGGGTTTATGGAGAAATAGGGTGCGTAATCGACCGGGAAGGAGATTCCTGATTTGGATTGGAGTTTCTGCAAAAATAGAGAGAATGAAGAATAAAATAGGAAATGATTACTTACATGATTTCGTGGATTTATCCGAATATTACTAATCAGCACGAAAATCTGGGTGATTGAGGAGCGAATTTCTTGGATTGAAGTTGGAAACTTAGATCTGTTTCCAGCTTTGTGCATGAAACCACTCATACACTTTCTGATTTTTCATAGCTACCATCGTCTTCGTCCCCTTCTGCAATGCTCGACTGAATCAAATCTCCAGTTTGTAATCAATTAAGAGTTGAATTCTCGGCTCCTACTCAATGTCTGACAACAAAATTAGCGTAAAATGCTTGGGTATTGAATTGTAAGTGTATAAATAAATAGATTGATAAATAACTTTGGAAACGATTCATTTCAACCATCCCTGGAATTTAGGAGCTGATTTATCGCTGAGAAGTTGGAAACTTTTAACTGTTTCTAATATCAGAGCGAGACGGATGTGGTTTTAAGAGGGGGCATTTTTGGAACTTCACATAAAAATTGTAAGCGGGAAAATTGGCTGGGGGATGGCTAATTGACTGCCACGTGGCGAAAATGGTTTTATTTATTAGATTAGGGGATATATATATATATATAATATGTATTTATAGTGTATAAAACAAATATTATCAAATTTATTATCAAAATTATTTGTTCTCATCATCAATAATAATATGAAGACAAAAAACGTTACAAGATGCTCTATGATGGATAATATGAAGACAAAAAACTTTAGAAGATGCTCTATGAAGACATGTTTTATCAAAAGGTGATATTTATTGATTACAAACGACAATTTCTTCAAAAGATGAAAGTGACAACCACTTAAAATAATTGATTGGCCATTGAATCATACGGCAAAATTTCACTACAAGATTTCAAGGTTTTGAAGACTTCAAGATCAATATAAATAGACATCATATGTCAGTAGAAGGAGGCAAGCAAAAAAAAAATATTCATTCTCTAAAAAATGTTCTTCTCATGTCTAAAAAATCTCCAAGAATCTCTCTTTCTACTAGTAGATGTTCAAAGTCTCTAGATTTTCAGATAATTCTTTCTCCAGATGTATGTATTGATTGTAATTCAAGTCTAATACAAGAAGGTACTATCTAAAATATTTTATTCAATTATTATATTGTTGTTATTAAATTTATTTCTCTATGATAGTTTCATTTCGAGTTATTCTAACTATTAATTCTACAAGATTTGAAATTTTTGTTAAAATAGTACTCGTTTTTAATAATCAAATTAATCAAATTCATGCTTGAATTTTATGTCTAACAAAATTTTGATGAATTGTATTCCTAATAGAGATATTCGTTTAAGAATACAACGAATCCAAGAATCTATAAATAATTCTGAGCAAAATCTCAAGGATTCTTACAAACCTACTAATCTAGGTACGATTTTAAACAATAATCATATTCATGATGTTAGACAGTTCATAAGAGCTAGTATTAAAATTCATTACAAACAAATACGTTATTTAAAAACAAAACTATTTGTTTTCTAAAAATGATATTTATGTCTTCTAAATGCTTATGAGCGAAATGGTATGAGCAAAATGGTATCAGAGCCAAGAAAAGTTTTTGGGGTGGTTATGCATGATATATTTATTTCATATTTATTTAATTTGGGTTTAATATTCTCGAAGAAATTTACAAGTTTTAATAAGTATGATTCAGAGACAAGACCAGTGATTGGTTGGATTAGCGTAAAACGCGCAGATAAGGACGTAAGTCGCGGTGCCGGACCACAATCATCGTCGAGACGATTCGCCTCTGTTCATCGTTATTAAAACAAGTAAGTTTTCTTAGAATTTTAAAGCAAAATTAATTGAATATGAGTAAATTTTCACGCATACTATCCAAAAAATATATTCCTGGTAAAAATATCGACAATGAACAAGATTATGATAATCAAATAAATTATATTGAAGAACCCGTTAATGGCATAGAACAAAGTTTGAATGATTGGACAATACCTAAAACTAATGTTAATACAATATATAGAATAGGAACTTTTGACTATTTTCAAGGTTATTCTATTAAAATGACAGAACAAACTTTGTCTATTGGTCAAAACCAACAAAATTTACATTTATTATCATCACGATCTATTGTAGAACATAGAATTAAATATAAATTTTTACATGTCGGTTTAGTCCAAATTGCTATCAAGCCTCTATTCAGAATTGGAATAGATGCCCCTGTTCTCCTTATTCTAAGAGACAAGAGACATAAAGATTTTCAAAATTCTATTTTAGCTATGGCTGAAACAAATATTGCTAACGGACCTATTTATTTCAATTGTTATCCAAATTTTTCTGTAGGGTTATTTGATAAAAATATTTTAGATACTTTAGTGTTAACTGTAGAAACAAAAAATTTATAATTTAAAGATGATACAAAGCCTTTAGCAATAATTTATCGTGTCTGTTACAAAACTATGACAACTACACTTGAACCGAAAACACGTTTATCAAGTCCTAAAAATGAAACAATTATGATTCAGAGTTGACTTTGATTACTTAAATGGTTTATTTATTAAGAATAGATTGTCATCATGCATAACCACCCCAAAAACTTTACTTGGCTCTGATACCATTTCGCTCATACCATTTCGCTCATAAGCATTTAGAAGACATAAATATCATTTTTAGAAAACACATAGTTTTGTTTTAAATAACGTATTTGTTTGAAATGAATTTTAATACTAGCTCTTATGAACTGTCTAACATCATGAATATGATTATTGTTTAAAATCGTACCTAGATTAGTAGGTTTGTAAGAATCCTTGAGATTTTGCTCAGAATTATTTATAGATTCTTGGATTCGTTGTATTCTTAAAAGAATATCTCTATTAGGAATACAATTCATCAAAATTTTGTTAGACATAAAAATTCAAGCATGAATTTGATTAATTTGATTATTAAAAACGAGTACTATTTTAACAAAAATTTCAAATCTTGTAGAATTAATAGTTAGAATAACTCGAAATGAAACTATCATAGAGAAATAAATTTAATAACAACAATATAACAATTGAATAAAATATTTTAGATAGTACCTTCTTGTATTAAACTTGAATTACAATCAATACATACATCTGGAGAAAGAATTATCTGAAAATGTAGAGACTTTGAACATCTACTAGTAGAAAGAGAGATTCTTGGAGATTTTTTAGACATGAGAAGAACATTTTTTAGAGAATGAATATTTTTTTGCTTGCCTCCTTCTACTGACATATGATGTCTATTTATATTGATCTTGAAGTCTTCAAAACCTTGAAATCTTGTAGTGAAATTTTGCCGTATGATTCAATGGCCAATCAATTATTTTTAAGTGGTTGTCACTTTCATCTTTTGAAGAAATTGTCGTTTGTAATCAATAAATATCACCTTTTGATAAAGCATGTCTTCATAGAGCATCTTCTAAAGTTTTTTGTCTTCATATTATCCATCATAGAGCATCTTGTAAAGTTTTTTGTCTTCATATTATTATTGATGATGAGAACAAATAATTTTGATAATAAATTTGATAATATTTGTTTTATACACTATAAATACATATAGTGTATAATCACACAGTATATACACACTCGTATTTGAAAATAATGAATTTGATAAATAGAAGAAACGAAATATCCTACATTGAAGGTATTACACCAAATTTAATGATAAAAATTTCTTATTCTTCATAAGGATCATCAAAAGGGTCTTGAGCGTCTTGAAATAAACCATTCTTTATAGATTTTGGAGAATCGTCAGAAACTGATGGAGTTTGACGAATTTCTTGAAGTAAGTTTTGAAGTTCTTCAGGAGAAGAGGTAGCAGCATCTTTAATTCTTGAAATTAGATCCACATCACTTTGAGGAAGACTTTTGATAAAAGTGGCTTCAACCTCTGGTTTTTGAATATATATTTCTTGATAATATTTAATTACTGCTTATTCACTGGCTTGAGAAATCTTCATTTTATCCCACCATTTTGAGCGAAATTGTCGATTAAGCCAGGGAGGAGAGGAATCCTTTGCTTCTTGATAATGAAAAGTCCAAGACATTATCCATGGAACTTTGAATATCATAGTGAATTGTAGCA